AGTTGGGTATGACTATGGCAAAGCTTTTGAACTACCACACACGGAAAAGAATAAAAGTTACCCTAAATCACCGCAAAAGGACAGCCCTGAGTTGTTATCTTCATCCTTAACGTTTATGCCTTTCTGAATCTGAAAAGAAGCTGCCAGGATTTCCAGTACACACCAAAAAGCGATGACAATATCCTGAAGTGTGTCAACTTTTGTGGGCACACAGCTGTCTAAAAGGAAGCAGATGCCGGTTGACTGGGGGAGCGTTAGGGCGTGTCTGTGACTGCGGCTCGAGTTTGCCTTCAGAGGGTGGCCACGCCTACCTCAATGATATTCTCAACAATAATTCAAAAGGGGTAAGGCTTAGATTTTCCTTATTCTCCCTTAGAGCTTATGTTCTTGGCACAATACGGATGCGCCACAGACGAGCCAGCATGTGAATGTGCTCTATCCCGAGAAGGTACAGCCTTTCTACATCGTAGAGTCCTTCAGCTTCTAAAATCATGGAGCTCGTACTGTTAGAACCAATGAAGTGAATTTTTTAAAATAAGCCACCAGTCTGGACCTGTGTAGGTGAATGAAGGAGAAGCACTTTAAAGTCAGGAAAAAAAAAAAGTATACTTAACATTTAGGATTATCAACCACTGTTGGTTTTCCATAATATATTTCATTCCTGATTTCATCTGAAAGAAACAGGATTATTACTACCATTCAAAAAGTGGTACCTTATTAATAAACTCTTGGCATGGCTTTGAGGTGGATTTCAGATTCAAAATAGACTTTACCACACCGCTAATGTGTTCACTCAGTGTTTATCAATAACTTAAGAGGCTTCATTCAAAAAACTTACTGAGATATAATTACCTAAAACCCAGGGGTGAATCAAGGCCTTGTAGGGTCTGAACCTCATCTACTTTGGGAAATCCTGCCTCATCAAAACATGCAAAATTATGCGTACAGGAATTGCGAGGGTCCCTCCCAAGACTTTGGAAGGGGCCTATGTAAGTGAGGAGACCTGAAGTTTAAGCTTCAGTCAGTTCAAGATAAATCCACCTCAGCTGGGGCCCAAAAGGTTTACAAACTTATTTAATGCTGGAGAAAATAGTTTCAACTTATAAACACCCCAGTAATAAGTCACATAGGTAATAACGTGACTGAATTCACGGGATGGCATCTCCCCTGCGCACGCTCTCTTTCTCTCAGAATAAATAAATAAACGTTAAAAATAAAAAAGAAAAGAAAAGTTTGGCCCCAAACAAGGAGCCCAACCTCCAATGCACACTTACTGTACTGTGATAATGTTTTGGAAGTTAACTGTGAATTCATTTTAGTAGTACAGCTCTATTCAAACGACATTGAAAGGGCGGGCCTACGCCGGCCGACTCCATCTTGTTCTGTGTCCTTCATCTTGACCACACCTCCTCCCCTTGAGTAACCACCCCCCCCAACTGCCTAACAGGACTCTTCCCCAGCCAATCAGCTGAGGCCGCAGCCATTACCTCACCAACTGCCACTAGGCACCAGTAAAACCTTTGTCCTTTTGAAACCGGCTCTCTCTCCCCGGTATCTCACCGCTGCGTCAGTGCAGGTAGGGGATTGAGCTGGAGCTAGCTCGAATAAAGGCTCTTTTTGCTTTTACATCGGACTCGGCTCCCTGGCGGTATTTGGGGATCACGAATTCTGGGCATAACACACATGGCATGAGTATTAATTTATTCTCAATACCAGCTAGCTCTGGTTCTTTAATTACCTTTCTCTGTCATGTAAGATTGATGAGGGAGCATGGGGCAAGTTGAGGGCAAAATACAAGTCAGCACATGCCCCCGCCCCAGGTGGGATATGTGCGATTCTGGCTGCTCGAGGACAAAGGAAAGGAAAGAAAACAAATGGTTAACTGATAGAGATCTCAGTCGGGCAAGACGGGAGTTTCCATCAGTTTACAAATATCTTAGTAAATTACAAGAAAAAGGCCATCTTTTTCTCCTTTTTCCAGTATGAAAGATTCTTGGGGACAGTCCCTGTATATTCTTTGTACCCCCAGTACTTAGTACATTGTCGACATAGAGTGCGCGTGGCACGGATTGTTTTTCAATGAATTCATTCATTGTTATCAACGGATTCCACCCTATTTTGTCCTGTATTGCCTACATAACTATGAAATTCAGATTCTTAGAAGAGACTCTGGGTGTTATAAGATGCTTAGTAGAGGTGGTGACTTTTAAGACATTCTATTGACACCACTAAAACCTCTTGGTGGAGAAACTCAATGAGCCCGTTCTCTGGCATGCTGGCAAAACAAAAAACTGACCCTCAGTATTCTTTCCCCAAGTTAGGCATCAGCAAATTAATGAGAGGAGAGAGGAGGCCCCTGCTCTCGGGCACCCGCAGGAACTTACTCCAGCTCCAGACACACCGTAAACACTTTCATCTAATGGAAGATAAGCTGTGAAATCGGATTTCTGAACCACAAGACAGTGAGACAGTCTTTTCCAGCGTCTGCTTTAGAGGAGGGTCTTCAACCTTGAGTCTCAACATCCCCCTCAGGCCACTGAACATGCCCAGTATGATTTGCTTTTCTACAGAGAAATCACAGAATGTCCCGGCTGAAAGGGAGTCACACACTTCTTAATTGAAGAGTGGTCAGGAAAGAAAGCACATGGAGAGCAGTGCCCTGTGGCAGGTGTTCAGGAGTTCTTGCTGCTTTCCTGATGGCTGAGGAAGCACCCACACCTTTTGCTGCCTGGAGAACCCTGTGCTAAACTTAGTTCTTCGAAGTTCTCTTTTGCACAGGAACTTGCACGTGAGCCGGAATCAAAGTTAAATTCAGAAGTGGATTTCAAGGGCCATGCACACCTTGGGGAAGCATCACTGTCACGAATTCCCATGATAATACTGACTTGGGTGTTACTTGCTTGGGGCCTTCAGTGCCCACACAAAGCTGGGTACTAGGGAGGGCAGAGAGTGCCATTTAGGAGTTAAGACAAGTCTCTTGGCCTCTTTGTACCTTAGTTTGTTTCCTCATTTGAAAACAAAAATGGATTTTAAGACCTACTTTCCAGAATTCATACTGGGTTTATTAACACACACCTAACCAATCACTGTAGGATATTTTTACATGTAGTTTGTTTTTTGCTTTTTGTTTTTTTTACATGTATTCATTTTCTGTTTCACTTACAGCTTGTGTAAAAACTGCATTCCATGCCAGGCCTGAAATGTTCCAAAGCTCAGTTTGGTGAGTAAATTGCAACCAAGATTTCTACACACACCAAAAAAACAAAACAAAACAAAACAAAACAACAACAACAAAAAAAAAAACAAGACACAAACGAAGAAGAAAAACAAGATATTTTCAGAATATTTATCCTTTGGCAGTGATTCTAATTTATAGATAACGAAACATAACCACAATACTCTCTCCATACACTAAAGAAATCTCACTATGAAAGATGCTTGCCTTTTTTAAAAAAATATTTGCATGAAAGATTTATACTTTCATGTTTATACATGTGGTGCATTAGATACAAATCAGTAAATGCTCAATAAATACTTGTGTTAAGTAAGTATTTTTTTCTAGAGAAGTAAGTTTATTTCTCTAGAAAAATGTTTCACAACTTTAGCACTGTTGAGATTTATGGTTGGATAATCTTTGTTATGGGGGGGGTGCTGCCTTGTGAACTGTAGGGTGTGACAGCAGCCCTGGCCTCCACCCACTGGATGCCAGGAGCACATCTACAGTCTGACAATCAAAAATGTCTCTAGACACTACCAAGTGTCACCTGGATGCAAAGTCACCCTGGCAGAGAACTGCTGCTCTAGAACGATTCACTCTGATCTCT